CCTAAACTGAATAGGGCAAAGCCATTTGCTGCTGTACTGGACCATTCGGCCTGCAAAATCAGACATTGTTGGTAGAATTTATCAATGTCCAAATGTATAAATGTATAAATCAGGCTCCGCATGAGCTTGAAATTGGTCCAGATTTCAGCCAGACAGAATAAAGCTGGAGGCTGAAATCCAGGCAGAATGTATTAAAACTGGGCTTGGCGGCTTCAACACCAGATTTTAATAAAATCCATATGTTTTGCCCATTCTCAGCAATAACAGTGAGCAGGCAAATAGTTAAACTAGTCAGCAAATTATTAACCCACTGCACTGTGGCAGCTGTCCAGTGGGGCATTTTCTAGTGAATGGGCAGCAATGGCTGCCCAGTTGCTAGTTTTTAATGTTAATAGATATGCCCCACTTGCTGGATGCAGCTGGGGGCATTTGGAGGTACATTACCTCCATTATTGTAATATGTGGGTCTTATTGACTACCACATGAATTGTATTAACTTTACTTCTTTCCTTTTTTAATGTGGCACTGGCCAACTGTCACATTATTATCCCTCACAGCACTGAGTGTTTAAAATATTTTGCTTCTGGCTGCTAATGCTATAAGTGGGCAAATAGTTCTTCAAAAATTAAGTGAATGACAATTTGAGAACGTGCATAATGCTGGATGCATTCGGTTTATCATTGGTGGCTATGCAATCGTTGATAAATATCCGATTCCAGTTATGTAAATTGGTTCAGATGCTGATATTAGTGATTTTCCAAATTCAGCCGAACAAATGTTTCAAAATCGATTGGACTGACTGAACCCTGACATTTGGCATTTGACTTTAGTAAAATTGAGAATTGCCAATGTGGTAGCAAGTTAATCATTTTCTCCATATTTTGTCATTTGGACAAAATCCGGTGTTAGTAAAAAAAACCCTGTTAGTGTTTCTAAACTATTGCAAATAATTTTTTCCCCCACAACTGATGGGGCACTGCATCAAGTGTCCCTATGGATGAGCCTCCACTGTGAGAAGCACTATGGACACTCTGCTCCACTTTAGTGGAGAGAAGATGGAGAAAAAAATATTGTGATATTTCAAGGCAAAAGATGCACCACACAAAGTTAGTTAAAAAAAAGTTTAAACATTCACTATATATTTTAAAAATACTCCATAAAATAAATTCAGCAGACCAGCGTAACATATTTATAAAGATATGAAAAAATATGTGTTAAACAAGTGGTACAAATGATACTTTGTAATTTGTCTCCCACTAATGTTCAATAAAAGATTGTTTAAATATAGGGAAGGGGTCAATCTGCTAACAATATGCTGAAAATTGCTCATCACACTTTCCATATAAGCAATGACAGATTTAGTTACAGGTGATGATATGAATTGTAAAATGAGGATTTCAAGACTGCAAGCTTTTAAATTCATGCACACACTATAATCAACCTTTATACTTACAAAAGTAAAATGAGCTGAAATATATAATTATAGTTGTTTTAAGAAATGCCAGCATTCCATCAGAAATTAATTGGCATATGGTAGGCTCACACGTTGAAAAGACTTGTGTAAGTGATCAGAGTTTTCTAAAAAAAAAAAAAATTGAATACATTATGAAAAACAAATATGCTGCGCTAAAATATTTTTCCATAATGCCTGAAACTTTGTCCATACAAATACAATTATATAACTATTAAATTGAACATTGTAGTTTATGGTAGTGTTTCTCAACCTTGTAACGAGAAGTACCCCTGCAGGTCTAAAAAATACATAAGCACCATTAGCTCGAGAAAGTAATTTATATTAATTTTTTTTTGTTTTCATATTCTTTATTACGTTTTGGTTAGAGTTGAGCGGACACCTGGATGTTCGGGTTTGTTAAGTTCGGGCGAACTTTGTAAAAAAGTTCGAGTTCAGGCTCGAACTTGACCTGAACGTGACCCCAATCCCCATTGAAGTCACTAAAATGCCTCTAAAAAAGTCCTGGAAAGGGCTAGAGGGCTGCAAAAGGAAGTAAAATGGGGGTAAGAGTAGGACAAGTGCCCTGCAAACAAATGTGGACAGGGAAATCACTTAAAATAACATAAAAAATAAAAAATACAACTAAGCCATAAAATAGCACTAGATGGAATCTTTGATTTTAGCTTTGGAAGAACATAAATCAAAATCTAAAGCATGGCTGCCAGGAGGATCACCAGAATTATACATTTGAGAGAGGGTTGGAGTGCAGAGTATTCTCTTTTATTGTTCAAACTGAGCTCAACTCCTGATGCATAGAGAAAAGGCCTTCACAAGCCTCTGCTATTGTGTACATAGTTTATACTAAGTGACCCATAGGTTGAAGAAGCGGTGACCGTGGCGGTGTATGTGGAAGTGGCGGTGGAGGAGGAGGAGGTAGACAACACTGTTTTTTATTTATTTTTAATTTTTTTATAATTTTTTTTTTTTAATTGGGGTAGCCCCCAAAATATTGGGACATATAAAAAAAGAAACATTTGCGACCTGTGGTGCATTTCTTGCAGTTCAATAAAGCCATCAGGTTTTTGGGAGATGGACAGCTGAATGCTTCCATGGGACAGTGTGGAGATGCTGTACAATTGTGTACCTGGCCTATGCTGGTGCAGGAACCCACCCTCCGAGCCACTTGTGAATGACTGGCCTGATAACCGTGGAAATAATCCCACTTCCTCCTGTGCCACATCCATCATCACCCAAAGCGTTTTTTCAAGGAGACATAGAAGCGGGATAGTAAGGCGTCATCGGCACTGGCCATGTTGGTGGAGTACTCAAAATAGCACAACATGGCACACAGGTCTTGCATGGAGGCCCACTCATCGGTGGTGAAGTGGTGCTGTTCCGCAGAGTGACTGACTCGTGTATGCTGCAGCTGAAACTCCACTATTGCCTGCTGCTGCTCGCACAGTCTCTCCAGCATGTGCAAGGTGGAGTTCCACCTAGTGGGCACATCGCATATGAGGCGGTGAGCGGGAAGGCCGAAGTTACGCTGCAGCGCAGACAGGCGAGCAGCAGCAGGGTGAGAACACCGAAAGCGCGCACAGACGGCCCATACTTTCTGGAGCAGGTCAGATATATTTGGGTAGTTTTTCAGGAATTTCTGCACCACCAAATTCAGCACATGCACCAGGCAAGGGATGTACGTCAAACCGGCTAGGCCCAGAGAAATTTCGCCCATCATCGCACACCACCAGGCCGTGCTTGAGGCTCAGGGGCAACAACCAATCATCGGCCTGTTGTTCCATGCCTGTCCACAGCTCTTGCGCGGTGTGGGGTTTTCCCCCCAAACATATGAGTTTTAAAACAGCCTGCTGTCGTTTCCCCGTGGCTGTGCTAAAGTTGGTGGTGAAGGTGTTACGCTGACCAGATGAGGAGGTGGTAGAGGAGGAGGAAGTGGAGGAGGAGGAACAGGCAACAGGAGGCAACCCTGTGTACCCAAATAAAGATTGTCAAACGTTGTATCCTGGAACTGTGTCCCATCCGGTTACTGGGGGAAATGGGTCTGACCTATTCTAATCAAAGGGGATAACCATCGGTTACCCAGGTCCCGCTTCAATTGGTGGCAAGCGGAGGGATCCCATGTCCCTGCCAATAGACCCATGGACTACAGTGCTCTAAAGCAACCTACACTGCAGGACTTGTGTGGAGCCAGAGGAATAACGCCTGGTGGGCGTAACAAGGCCAAATTGACTTCTGCGCTCATGGAGGACGACCAGGCATGCAGTGAGACAACGAACCCCAGAAATGGGCCAGAGATGAGAAGGAAGTACGCAAGGAGGTGGACCGGTGCCTGGCATATTACCGAGAGCCACCCTCAGAGGAGATTGTCAGCAGGACCTTTTTGGAGGTGCAAGATTATGTCCTTGCCAATAGACAGAGGGCGACCTCCATGAACCCAGATGAAGGAAGAAGGGACCAGAGGGTGACGTGAAGCACAACCACCCTGGCGACTGGGTCACCATCCTGGCCAGCAAACTAGTGGGGAAGGCAGCGGATATTTGCCGGACTGTACCAGAAGAGCAGATCAGAGACTATCCCTTTATTACACAAATCCTCCTGGCCCGGTATGCGGTCACCCCCGAGCAATACTGCTGAAAGTTTAGGGAGACCTGGAAAGGGGAGAAGGACTCCCATGTGGAGTGGGCATGCCGCATCACAAGGGCCACCCAGACCTGGATCAACTCCCATCAAGCCAAGTTCCCGGAGGAGATCACCCAGCTCTTCATGCTAGATCACCTTTTCAATGGGCTCCACAACGACATGGCTGGTGAGAGACCTCCAGCCCCAGACCCAAGAAGTATTGGTATGAGCTGCTGAAGCTAGCTCATGATATCCCCTTGGCAGGGCATTTGGGCTGGAGCCTGACGGTGTCTTGGCTCACCCAAAGCTTCTTCTGGCCAGGCATCTCTCAGTATCTGATGGCAGTACTGCCAGATGTCTGCCAGAGAGTGGAGAAGAGAAGGGACCGGCACATGGCCCCCCTCCATCCCCTACCTATTAGTGAAGATCCATTCAGCAGCGTAGCTGTCGACATTATAGGTCCCCTAGCCAAGCCTAGTCCCTCTGGGAAGAAGTACATTCTGACCATACGCGACTTGGTACCCTGAGCAGTATTCGGGCAGACACTGTGGCTGAAGCCTTGATGCGAGTGTCCTCCCAGATGGGTTTTCCCCGGGAGATTCTCTCAGACCAGGGCACCCAGTTAACTGCCAAAATGACCCACCAACTGTGGAGATTGTGCACATTAAACCAATCCTGAGCTCCCCTTACCACCCCCAGACCAATGGCCTGTGTGAGCGCTTCAACGGTACATTGAAGCAAATGCTCCATACCTTTGCGGTGACTCACAAGGATTGAGAGAGATTTCTGCCCCATCTCCTGTTTGCTTATTGGGAGGTGCCACAGAAATCGACTGGGTTCTCCTCGTTCGAATTGCTACGCCAAGGAACTCCTTGGAGCTGGCTTTGGTGTGCTCGGTCCCTGGGTGCGGTGAGCAGTAGCAGGCATACTGTCTAGGTGATGGCTGCTCCGCTTTTGCACCCTGCTCTAGGAGGAGGAGGTGGATGTGGAGTAGGAGGTTGAGGATGCGGTGACCATGGCGGCGACGACGCATTCGGATGTCTGCACTATCAACTTTCAATGTTACTTTCTGCACCTACCATGGTGACCACTGGTAACAGGGAATCAGGGTTCAATTCGAGAGAGGGAGCCTGGGAAATGGCTACCACATCCAAGTAAAAGCAGCAGGCATGCAAATTACCCACTCCTGATGTGGGGAGGTAGTGACGATAAATTACAATACAGGACTCTGTCCAGGCCCTGTAATTGGAATGAGTCCACTTTAAATCCTTTAACGAGGATCTATTGGAGGGCAAGTCTGGTTCAGAGCGACTGAACCGTGCATGCTGCAGCTGAAACTCCACTATCGCCTGCTGCTGCTCGCACAGTCTCTCCAGCATGTGCAAGGTGGAGTTCCACCTTGTGGGCACGTTGTACATGAGGCGGTGAGTGGTGGGAAGGCCGAAGTTACGCTGCAGCACAGACAGGCGAGCAGCAGCAGGGTGAGAATGCCGAAAGCGCCCACAGCTGCTATAGTGAAACTGCGAATGGCTCATTAAATCAGTTATGGTTCCTTTGATCGCTCCATCTGTTATTTGGATAACTGTGGTAATTCTAAAGCTAATACATGCTGATGAGCGCTAGGGGACGCCCGCTCCGCTTTTGCACCCTGCTCCCTCTTATGCTGTGCTGGTGCCTCTGTGCGACCACCGCCTCTTCCTCCACACTGCACACGACATTCGCATGACCTTCATTCCATGTGGGGTCTATGACCTCATCATCCTCAACATCATCTTCCACCCACTCCTCAACCCTGCCCTCCTTGCCAGTCTGCACACTGCAGAAAGCCACAGCAGTTGGCACCTGTGTTTTTCCAGCATGTAAAGTCTGCAAAGGACATATGGAAATTGTTTTAGAATTTCCTCCAGGCAACAGTTTTTCCTCTAAACTGACCTCTCAGTTTGACTTGTGAGGGTATTGCCCCAGAAGTACAATATTGTTTAAGTACCTCTTAGCTATTGATATCTGGTTTAAATATAGCATCTTGTTATCTGGTAGTTTCTAGTGTAGAAAATATCAATCTGTTTTCTATAACTTAGATCTGTTTAACAAGTGTTATAGGTGTGAAACAATATTACAAGTGACTGATGTAGTAAATTCGAGTCAAAGTTCCATTTGCAAAAAAATAATTCTCACCCATCTTCTGTGGGTTATTGCATTTTTAAGATGTAGACTTATTGTATCACACTAGCCATGCACATGTAGATTGTATGGCACATTGTTTTGGTGTTTGGTTTTTAACTTTGTAGTTGTGTCTTTACACAATATAGAAATGCATATTAATGCTTCTGTATGTGAAGCGATCACAATAACACTTATTTTTCTCTTTTTAAAAAAGTCTTTAGACTTTCTTGAGAAGCGGTCACTAGCCAGTGTTGCACACATACACTAGATATGAAGTGCACACCCCAAATGTACTATTTAGCACCTAAAGAATTTGAATGTTTAAAACTGCTATGTCACAGCAGTATTTGACGGTTCTATTTGACTCTCAGATATGAAGTGCATGCCCCAAATTTACTTTTTAGCACCAAAAGAATTTAAATGTTTAAAACTGCAATGTAAGCACAGTATTTTACGGTTCTATTTGACTCTCAGAGATGAAGTGTACCTCCGGCCGCAAATGTACTATTTAGCAGCAAAAAAATGAGAGTTTTTAAAACTGCGCTGTAAGCACAGTATTTGACAGTTCTATTTGACTCTTAGATATGAAGTGCAGGCCCCAAATTTACCTTTTAGCACCTAAAGAATTGGAATTTTTAAAACTGCTATGTCACAGCAGTATTTGACGGTTCTATTTGACTCTCAGGTATGAAGTGCACACCCCAAATTTACTTTTTAGCACACAAAAAATGTGAATTAGTCAAACTGCAATGTAACCACAGTATTTGACGGTTCTGTTTGACTCTCAGATATGAAGTGCAGGCCCCAAATTTACTTTTTAGAACATAAAGAATTTGAATTTTTAAAACTGCTATGTCACAGCAGTATTTGACGGTTCTATTTGACTCTCAGATATGAAGTGCAGGCCTCAAATGTTCTTTTTAGCACCTAAAGAATTTGAATGTTTAAAACTGCTATGTCACAGCAGCATTTGACGGTTCTATTTGACTCTCAGATATGAAGTGCAGGCCACAAATGTACTATTTAGCACCTAAAAAATTTAAATGTTTAAAAATATGCTGTAACCACAGTATTTGACAGTTCTATTTGACTCTCAGATATGAAGTGCACCGCAGGCTGCAAATGTACTATTTAGCAGCAAAAAAAATAATTAATTTTTAAAACTGCGCTGTAAGCACAGTATTTGACGGTTCTATTTGACTCTTAGATATGAAGTGCAGGCCCCAAATTTACTTTTTAGAACCTAAAGAATTTGAATGTTTAAAACTGCAATGTCACAGCAGTATTTGACGGTTCTATTTGACTCTCAGATATGAAGTGCAGGCCACAAATGTACTATTTAGCACCTAAAAAAATTTAAATGTTTAAAAATGCGCTGTAACCACAGTATTTGATGGTTCTATTTGACTCTCAGATATGAAGTGCACCGCAGGCCGCAAATGTACTATTTAGCACCAAAAAATTTGATTTTTTTAAACCAACACTGTAACAGTAGTTTTTAAGGGTTTTATTGGACTGCAAGAAATGCAGTACACAAATGTACTATTTAGCACCCAAAAAAATTGCAGTATTTAAAAATGCCTAGATGTTGCCCACTAAGCTACCAGAACAGGATTAAAGTAATGTGCCTGGCACACATGCAGTTGCAAGTGCACTGTACTCTCTGTGGCACTGCTCTCAGGGCAGGGTACAAAAATGTAGTATAGCACCCACAAAAATAATCGCTGTAGTTTGCAGATTCAACACCAGAATTCTTTCCTAATCTGTCCCTCGTAGCTCCAGCATCCTCCCCCTACACTAATAAGAGCTCATGTGCGTGCGGCGCTACACGACTCCAGCTTATATATAGAGGCTGGGTCACATACTGCACTGGCCAATCACAGCCATGCCATTAGTAGGCATGGCTGTGATGGCTTCTATGGGCACACAAGTCAAACGCTTGATGATTGGCTGCCCTGCAGCCTTTCAAAACGCGCCATTAAATCACCGAATTCCAACCCGAACATACACTGATATGTCCGTGTTCGTGTCGGGGGTTCAAAAAACTTAATGTTCAATGCGAACCCGAACTTTACAGTCCGGGTTCGCTCAACTCTAGTTTTGGTCATACTTGTACAACATATACCATAACGCTTACAAAACAAACATATACTAACAAGGGTAGAACTAAATTATTTGTCTTTTTTTACCTCTGAGAGAGGGGAGATCAGAGAGAAAGCTTTGAAATATAATCTTTACCACAGGGATAGTTTTTAGGGTAATTAATCAAATTATAATTTCTCTTTCATTCTTGTTAACCATTGATCCCATATATCAGATTTTTTTTTTTTAATCTGAAAGGTTAATAGTAATTCTATTTGAATTTGGTTTAATAGTTGGGTATATGCTTTTTGCCATGTCGGGTTGCTAGTGGATTTCCAATTTTGTGCTATTATCAATTTTATTGCTAATAACACATGTATGAGTAACTATTTATATTTTAAAGGCATGATTGGCCAATTCAAATGTAATAAAACTTATGTTGGAGACCAGTTTATTTTGGCCTTAGATGTTTTTCAATACCAATGAAAAGATGTATTCCTAATATCTTTAAGCATATCACATTCCCACCACATGTGTAGATAAGTACATTTTTCTCTATTACATCTCCAAAATATATCAGATTTAGAAGGAGAGATTTTTACAGATTTTGTGGGAACCCAATGCCATCTATTAACTATTTTATATTGCATCTCCAAAAGATGTAAACAGTAGACTGATGGCAAGGGACTAATTAGTGTTTTATTCCAATCTTCAACATAAATATTAAATCCCAATTCTTTTCCCCATTTAGATATAGCAGGATTTTCTTTTTGTATATTATTAAAATTTGTAATCAGTTGTGTTGTTTTTGACAATATTTTTTCAATTTTTGAGTAATTAAATATTTTTTGAAATGTTTGAGATTTGAAAAGAATTTTGGTAAATAAATAAATTAAATATTGTTTCCTATAAGGTAATAAAAAAATTGAGAATTAAGAAGATTAAATTCCTTCACCAGATACAGAAATGATTTTAGAGATGCGTTCTTTATGAAATGAGATATAGTGGTAATATTTCTTTATTTCCAGAGAATCAAATTCAAGTCATCTGTAATTACCTCTAGAGTTTCTATTTTGCTTGATGGTATTAGTTTTGACATTATTCAGAATGGCTTTTTAATATTTATCCATGATTGTACTAGTTGACATAAAACTCTACTTTGCTGTTTTAAAATAGTAATTAATTGTTTTTCTTTAACATTCCATTCAATTAAGGATAAATCATCATATCCTATCATAGTTCGTTCAATATCTTGCCATGCTTCTGGGGAATACGCTTGTAAACTATATAAATTGGTCATTACACTAGCTTGGTAAACATTTTTGATGTTTGGGAATCCTAATCCACCTTTATTCTTATTCATAGATGAAATCTTTTGGCTAATCCTGGGAGGCTTTGCTTTCCATATACAGCTTGATATACTAGATAGTAACATAATGTCAGGATTACAGAATGATCCAGCACGTACAATTGTGTAACACAGAGGACTGATAGGTAACGTATACCGGACCTTAGAATGGTCGGACTAATGTACCAAAGAATAGTCAGGAATAGCCGAGGTCAAGGGATACAGAAAGAGACACAACGATAAGGAAAAGCCAGGAGTCAAGGATGCCAGAAAACAGGGAAGTCAAAAACAATGCCAAAGTCAAATAACCAGAATAACCAGAATCAATAACGCGCTCTCGGACAACCACGGCAGGGCACTTAGCAGGTTGAGAACTGGGCCTAAATACAGGGCACTGAGCAGGATGAGAACTGGGCCTCTAGATCTGATAGACCGTAACTGGCCTTTGACCCCAAGGGAAGTTACCAGGTTACCATTTACATAATTGCTGCTCAGCATTAACCCTTCTGTGGATTTGGTTGCTGCTCGGCACACCTTTTCCTGTCAGGACAGTAAATGCCATTAACAACATTTTTATAAGCAAATGAATATGTGACACATAAAAAGCCAAGGAT